CCGGCTGCGACTCGGGGCTGCGGGCGGAGGACCCCGGCACCCATAGGGCTCCGTCAGCGTCAGGAACTGGGAAGATCCATTTTTCTGGGCCCGCGCACGCCGGACCTTTCCCCCCTTCCCTTTTTATTTTTATATTTTCATCTTGCCACTGTGACTTCAGGGCGTTGCTGATGATGGATCGCACAGAAGTTAAGCCCCTTATCAAAAAAAAACAAACAAAAAACTTTGAGGCCGCTGTTGGCTGGCGTTTTCCCTCCCTGATACTGACAGCGTGGAAGATTTCAGCCTGTTCACCTTCAACCCTGTCACCCCCAGGATTTGGATAATCCGTCAGCAGTGCTGCAGGCGTAGCCAAGGACTGGAAACTTAGATGCTTTGTCCCTCCCCAAACCGCACTCGTGGACGCTTTGTGGCCAGGTCTTGGGCACAGGGTGCAGGATTACCCTGTGAAATGGTAGCCCGATAGGTTTCCCATCCTCCTTTTGAGGCGTTCTTTTCATAACTTCCAAGCCTTTGATTTCTGACTTCGCTTGCTGCTCCGGAGTATGCCAATGGGCCGGGCGAAGGCAGCCTTCAAAATAAAAACCCTCGTAATGATTGAAGGCGGAACTCTCCGAGGACCTCTTCATTTTCCATTCAGTAGGGATGGCTCCTCACCAGTGCTCCCTCAAACACCAGGCTCGTGTCCTGCTATAAATTCCCAGGGTTATGGTGCATCTGTGAGGTGGCTGCAGGTTCCCCCGGAGAGAGAGGGCAGCTCCAGAACTTAGGAACAAATCTTTGTTGATGAATCACGACTGTTTAAGCAAAAATAATGCCAGTTGGGGCGTGGCGGGTTGCCTCGCCATAACAAAAGGGCAGGGGTTTTCCCCGATGTCTAGATGAGAGGGTTGGGGGTGTCAGGATGGGTATAGAATTCATCCAGCGCCTTCCCAGAGATAAACACAACTGTCATGAGGGTTCTGGAGACTATAGAGATGTGAAGTAAGCAGGAGTCCTCTTTTTTAGGTTCACATGACTATGCCACAACACTATCCAACTGTATTTTTAGGTTTATGGTACACCACATAAACCTTTCGATTATAAGGTTGCCCAGGTTCCTGTGTTTAACACAAGTAAGTGTTTTGCTGCCTGGAAAGAACAGTATCCCATGTAAATGAGTAACTGGCACAGCCTAGGTCCTGTTCATTCTTCCTCCTGAATAGTTCTCAAATCTTTCCATTTCTCCGCATCGCCGTTTTCCACAGATCTACTGTAAAGGCCTTCCAACTGGTTCTACCATGGGTTTTTCTTACCCGGGTCACACTGCCTGGCTGCTCTGTGACTTGTACTCTAGTCTTGCTGCTTCTGCCGCCCTATACTCCCAGCCTTTTGTATCCCTAGCCATAATTGGTAGAGAATTGGTTCTGATCCTCTACTATGTCCAAGAATCATCAGGGGCACTTCTTTAAAAGCACCCATTCAAAATGCTGGCAGGAACTGGAAGTCTGTATTTTTACCAAGTGTCCTGGGGAATTTCACAGGATAAATTTTGGGGAAAATGACTAGTTTGAACCAACTAATTGCTTCCTCCGGAACAATCTCCCTTTTGCCTGCAGTTTGGCACAGTCCTCCCCCCTTCTTCCACCTTCAGCTCTCTGACCTTGACTGCCTGAACTTCCCCACCGGTTCTTGGAAAGCATGCTGATTTCTCCATCCTTTTTACCATCTCTATTCCCCAAACATCCAGAAAGACTTACTGTGGCCCTTAGGTAGTTTTGAAAGGAGGCACCATAAATAGTTATACCAGGACAACAGACATAAACCAGGGCATCCCAGGATGTAAGGTCACCCTATACTTAGCATACTATATATAATATATTTGTTTACTTCTCTGTCCCACTTCTGCACCATAAGCTGTAAATGGCAGGGACCAACCACACTGGATTTATGATTCATTTTTGTTTCCCCAGAGATTAGGATGGCCACACATTCCATAAGTGTTTAATAAACATGCAGAAAATGAATAGTCTAGTTTACTAATAGACCTATGAGTTTGGCTAGGGTGACAAATTCCTAAAACCTGACTCCTCCTGAAGAAATCAAGGTTTTGTACCAGCACAGAACAGAACCTGGGACAAGTGATGGCCCCAATAAGATAAAGCCTGGCCTATACAGCAGTTTCTTGAAACTGGAGAAACAAATGCTCCGTGTCTAAAAAACCACTCCTCTGCAAGCTCCTGGACTCAATGTGGACAGCAATAAAGTCACTGCTCCATAGTTCAAATTGATTTTATTGTCTAGAAGTACAAATAAGGAGAGTAACTGATATGCGAATTTTCTTGTAATTCTGGGAAAGTGGGCAATGTTTGACAACAGGCATTCTAACCAAAGTAAACAATCATTTTGCTGCTATGTTCTCAACTTCATGGAACGAAATGTCTGCAAATACATGACCATACGCACAGAAAGGACCCCATCTGTTCTCTTCCTCCCTCTGCTTCCTGCCCTTCACAGAAGCTCTGGATCAACACACCATGAAAATCTAAAAGGTAACTCCCTTGAAACACGCGACAATGGTAGCCAGGCCAGGACAGACTTTGCAGCTAGTGGATATCCCAGAAGGATCTGTGAAATGGGTCTTTGAATTCAAAGACCAATTCAAACAGGCACACAACTATCCATTTAGTAGCATAACTACTGTGAGAATGCCGGTGGGAACGTGGCAGGAGGTGAGGGGCAGAGGCGGGGTGGGGCCTAGGTGGGAAGGATCCTGTACACCTGTTAAGGAGTCTGAACTTGATCCTGTAGTGGGGGAGCAAACACAAGTACCTACCTTTATAATGTAAGGGAGTGACAAGGCCTGGGTGGTAGCTGCACTACCCGGAAAACACTGCCTTGGCTAAGGGGCAGCCCTACCCAGTTCCTGTGCCCAGTGTTGCCACTGAACAATTTTCCAAGAGAAACCAAAACCCTGGGTTTCATAAAAATCTCCCAATCTTTAAAGTTCTCACTAATTTAAGTTGTTTTAAACTTTGTGGACACCAACATGGTGCATGACAAACAAAAGCCATCTACCTGTGCACCGAGTGGCCCACGGAGCCTGGAAGGACAGAGTGAAGTCATCAGGCTTTGAGCAAGCAAGTAACATTTCATTTAGAAACTCATTCTGGCAACAACCTGGGGGCTGTGAAACTGCTACTTTCCCTGCTCCCGAGCTGCCTAGAGGAGGGGACAGCTTCTCCCCAGAGGGCAAAGGAAGCAAAACTGGAACGAGTGTCCTTATCTTTCTTTCACTCCATTTGTTCACTAAGTATCAGTGCTGTAAGCAAGCCAAGCACAATGGGAACACTTTAAAATAGAAGGAAAAACCTCCTGCTAAGACAATGGAGTTCCCGACAGCCAGCCTGTGAAATGAGAAGGCATCTGTGAGATGATGTTGAGGGAGTGAAGGAGGCAAGGAGGGAGGATAGGGTCAGGATGACACTAAGGAATCACAGAGATAAAATAACTACTGAGATACCAGAAAGGTCAGGCAGGCAGACAAACCAGTCAATTTATCTGTATTTTCTAACAACCTGAGAATTTGATAAGCAAAAGACACATTTACTTCAACTGAAATTAAATGTCAGATTGATGAGGTAACCAAAGTGGCTGGGCAGCTTTGAAGGGTTTAGGAAAAGCACTGGCCGGTACAAAATTGAAATGGCCAATGGCAACTAGGATGCCGTGCCTCTGTGGAACCTCAATGGACCATCTCCCACTCCCCCACTCCGCTTTTTGAAAGCCATCTCTTCACTGCATCAAGTTTCCAAGACATGGTGCGGCATCCCTGCCTGTGGTTCCTCCTTCAACCTGATCACTGAATGTCTTCTCCCACTCACCAAGCTAAACACCCTCAATCCTTAGCTTTTTTTCCTCTTGAATATTTAAATGAAGGTCTCTAAGACGTAATGATAATAGGACCTTCTATGGCCCATCGAGTGTTGCTCAGTGGTTGACTGTCAACCTATGAACCAAGAGGTCACGGTTCGATTCCCAATCAGGGCACATGCCCTGGTTGCAGCTCAATTTCCAGAAGGAGGTGTGCTGGAGGCAACCAATTCTTGATTCTCTCTCATTATTGATGTTTCTCTCTCTCCCTCTCCCTTCCTCTCTGAAATTAATAAAAATATATTTTTTAAAGTAGTACCTTATATCAATAAAGTTTCATTTGACCCTTATCATCATTCTCTCATGTAGCAGGGCATGTTTTCTCATTCTCAGTTTGCTGGATGAACCAGAAAGGGCGACCACCTGCCCGGAGTCACACAGTTATTTAACACCACAGCTGAATCTAGATTCTAGAACCTTGTCTCCTGCCTTTCAGTACTCTGCACTATATCAAACAGCAGGAAAGCAGAATACCCTGGAGCTAGTGACTCCATTAGTTAGACATTCCTTGAAAATTGTTGTTGCAACTACAGTCCTGCTTCCTGCTTATGTGGTACCAGCTGCAAAATCACAACTAGGATACCTCCCTCCCTCAATGGAAAACAGTCATTGTCAACAGGAGGCCTGCTTTCCTTACCTACCTTAGTCTAACTAGGCAAGAGCATGCTGATGTC